GGAGGCCGCGGACGGGCTCTCCCGCGGGGGGGGGGTCAGGACGTTTCGATCGAACGTCAAAAGCCCCATCGTCCCGGCCGAAGGCGCGGCGGGCGGGCGATCCAACCCGGCGTGGAGTTTCCCGAAAGGCGCGTGATCCCCCACCCCGGCGGGATCGTCCTCGTCGATCCCGGACGCCGAGGAGGAGCGAATGGAGCCGCCGAAGCCGTCCTTCGCGGGCTCCTCGGCACCGAACAGCGTCAACATCAACGTCTCCGATTGAGGCCTCGACGACGACGTGACGAAGAGGCCTTGGGGAACGAACGCCTTCAACTCCCGCAGGGCATCGCGGAGGTGTAAATACGCGACGTAGAGTTGCCCGACCTCCGCGATGATCGTGTATCGCGCGGCTTTTTTGAGCATCGGATCGTCCTCGGAGGAGAGCCGGGAGGCCTCGTGCATCCCACGGCAGATCCAATGAATCGGCACGCAAATCGCGAGCCAGAGGAGAATGCACACCAAAAACAAACTCATCGTCACCAAGAGCGATACGATGATCGTGATCACCTTGCATTTGTCGACCACCCAAAAGAAATGGCTCCGTTTGATGACGTTGATCAGAACAAGACGTATGCCGGATCGGGAAGTCACCCCAGCGGCGACCGTGATATATTCATCCCCGATCTCGAGCTGATGGTCACACGAAAAGGTGCAATTCGTGCATTTTACATCCTTTGGATCATAATTTTCCACACAGTGCTTGAGGAAGTTATCTCTTGCTTTCAAAATCCGCGGATGTGGATCGCACAAACCGTCTGTGTTGTCATGCCTATCTAAGGCTAATACGTAGCTCTCTGAACTTTTGGAGACCCCAAGTCCGCCCTCAGACCCCATGTGAACGCCCTCGACCGTCAAAATGACGACGTGCTCACAGGAGTGGTTGGTGTAATCCATATCATCTCTTGCAGACTTTATGTATCTGAATGGCCGCCAGATTGTACTGAATTCCGTCAAATTGGACCTCGCATCGGACATGCCGTCGAGGCAGTAATAGTATGACATAGTGAACAGCGCCTGTTTGTTATTGCACATTCGCGTGATGATGGAAGAATTCTCAACAAATTCCAAATACATAGGAGACCATAGTCCTTCCTTCGGGATGATGCGATTGATCGAATTAAGGAATTCTATCTTTCTCCGATGTCTTTCGGTGACTCCCTGATTCGAAAAAAGCTTGACCCCAAGCAGCCTTTCATCCTTTGATTTCAACTCGTTTAAAAACCGTGTATGGTTTTTAGTAGCATCGAAATAATTACAAACACTGATATTCTTTTCACAACCAGATATAAACCAATCCGTGTGAGAGAACGTTTCATCTTGGGAAGAGTGAAATATTCCCGAATGCCACATCTCCGCTAACTCGATCACATGCGAATGAGGAACCAGCATCAACGATAACACGTTCCAGCTACTCAAGAAGCTAAAAGCAGTATCGGAATCTTTCGGGAATTTAGCGGAGAACTTGAAAAATATGAGATCTGCTGCCGTTTTACGCGTGAGGCGCTCGTATACCTTGAAATTTTTCCGCAAAAATTTTACATTATGCCCCATGATCGTTACTAAGAGCTCCTTGGCCATCTCCCGTGTGCTGTGGCGGTTCATAAGGGTAAACACCAAACAAAGGGTAACCAGCCCTACTACTACCAACACACCATAGATAAAAAGAACTACAGAAAGACGTACCCTCGCCATAAATTATCTCCGATTAATATTGTTTTTTGTTTATTTAGAAAATAAAATCCTCTGCGTGAGATATTTTATGTGTCTGCACTTGGAACCGTCCCTTAAAGAGGATAAAATGTGCAATCACTCCTAATACTTGGAGAAGTAAATATTAAACACAGATCTAGATTGACAATATCAATTATTAGATATACAGGTACACATCAAAAAGAAAAAGCACAACGATGGAAGTATTTGAACCTATTAAAATAGAAGAAGTTAAACACCAAAAAAAAATAATTAAAAATAAAATTAGAATTCGAATCAGCGTCCTTGGTAAATGTTAGGTTTCTATGGTTTTAAGTGCTTGTTAAGTTTGGGAAAAAAAAAATAGGAGTTATATAGTGTGTACTGTTATTTCTACTAAGGGCAGGAGCACGAATGCTTGTTCCCGTTCTTGCAGATAATACCTGCTTTTAGGGTCTAATTTGAAAAAAATAAAAAGAGGAAAGAGAAAAAAGGCATAGCCAAATGTAAAAGAACAGAGAAATAAAAGAACACCAAACATCCTAGTGAGCTTAAAAGGGGAAAAAGCCTAGCATTTTTCGAGTTGAATTTAAAAGAAAAATCGCCATTGGTACAAGTTCTGAGCTGTGCCTAGGAAACCCCTAGGGACTTTAAATGCTCCAAACATCCAAAAGAAACAACTTTAGAGGGATAAATTGCCCTCCTCAAAGGCGTGTGATTTTATTCAGGCGACCAGGATGTTAGTGTCCCTCTTTGTGTTAGGGTTGACAGCCCCTTTTTATCAAGCCTTTAACTGGTCCCGCTTTCGATCTCGATCTCAGCTCTTTTCAACACGCCGACACCACCTTCACGAACATGTTACTTAGGCTCGGGTCTCTTTCCACCTTTTCCGCCAGCTGCGCCTCATCCACGGCCTGAACACCAGGTTTCTTCGTCGACAATTCACCCCCCCCTTGCCAGTTTAACTCCTTTTCAAAGAGAAGTTGCTCGACGGTTTGAGTAAAGAACTGCACGTCTGGAATCAATGAGGGGGCAATAAGCGCTTCACTCAATTTGCATTCCTTACAGAACTCCCGCAACCACTTCGAGGCCGGCGTGTCGTGAGGATGAGAAAATAGCCGAGGTATTTCAATCCCCTGCTCCTTCAATATGTCGTGAACATCGACAATCACCACATTTCTTTCCGCCGGCTCCTCGTCCTCCGCCACGGCCCTCATGGAGTTCCCCTCGTCTAAGGGGGAAGATGGCGCCTCCGTGCACCGCGTCCTCGTCGATGGTCGCTCGGATAACCAAAGCGCGACCACCGTATCCGCCCACCCGTCCAAAACCTTCACCTCCAGCGGAACCCCCCCTATCGACGCGGCCGCGCGGAATCCTGACGGGCAGAAAAAACGCCCCCCCCTTTCCTCCCCCGCGGTGAGGCGATACACATGCGCCTCGAGATCCGCCAACGCGCAGTAATCCCCCAGCCGGATCCACCAACGGCGGCCCTTCCCCCCCCCTCCTTCCTCGACCGGATCGGAGGTCGTCCGGAGAAGAAGCTGCCGGATCGCCGCGAGAAAACGCCGGACCTCCGCGACGCCCCACACGGAAAGGCAATCGTAGGCGTTGAACGCGTCCGGGAAGCGCAAAAGCCGCACGGAGGGCGCCTGCGCGATCGACCCCGCCGTCTCCCCATCCGCATCCGTCCGATCGCGAGCGTCGGGCGAAATCGGGAAAATCGCCTGTAGAAACGGATCCTCGGCGGCAACGCGGATCGCCCGCGAGGCGGCGTGGGTGGAGGCGTGAAAGGCCGTTGTCAGGGGCTGCGAAGGGCCTTCGGATCCCCGCAGGAGCCCGCGCGAGGTCGTCGCTAGGGCGGTTCGCAACACCCCCAACAGCGG